GCCGATTGCCTCCAACCATCCAATAACACACAGCCTTCTTCAAACCTTGCACACAACCATTAGGTCGCGTACTATCCGTGACCTAACGGCTTTTGTCAGTCGATCAGTAAATGATGTCTAATTTTCTGGACGACTGGTGATTATATCCTGATAAACTGGTGCATTTTTGTGTTAAGTCACATTATATTTTGACTTATCATAGAATACTGACAATAACTGCCTGGAGTTGACACGGGATGATGACCGATTGCGTCACTAGTCTTGTTTACAATGTAGATGTAATCAGTACAATGCCACCATAGCCGTCCACAGTCTCGTACACTGTTTAGTTGAACAACCAGTTTCAGTCTTTGATTACAGTACGACGTATGATTGTCGAAGATGCAGACAACTGGTTCTCCATATTTTCTGATAGACTGTTATTCAAAACGTCTAAATTCTTCATAAACAGAATATTTTTGACCTTCCAGTTTATAAAACCTCACCTCGTTTACGAGCTCGCTAGCTTTCTAGCCGGTCCCAAACTCGCGTGAAGAGTAAAGGTCGGACGTGGGGGGTAGCGATCCTACACCACCAAAACAATCAATCTGCTACACAAACTTCAGTGCACAGGAAAAATACAGAAAATATAACAAATCAGACTTAATTCTCTCTGGAATTAGAGAGGCGAAATGACATAGCAGGCTGGTGAAAGCCTTCGGGAAGCCAGTCAGTTGATGTGTCGTCTTCCAATAATGTCAAGAACAACAATGTGAGTGTGGAGTGTTCGTACAATGTACAAAGCTGGAAAGGCTGCCGAGTTAGCCAAAGAAATGAGGAGATAAGGTATAGAAGTGCTGGGAATTTGCGAGAGCAGATGAAATGGATGTGGATTGTCAAAATTGTCAACTGGAGAGTCAATAATCTACTCCGATCTGTCATCCAGACGACGACTACGAGCACACTGAGTCAGTCAATAGCTATCATGATGTAACCAGTGGCAGCCAAAGCCCTAATACAGTAAGAACCAATCTCCTCCAGCAAGATCATGACAACAAGATTCAAATCAAAAGGAAGGTCACAATTATCCAATGCTACGGACAGTGCTACAAACAATGCGGAACGAGACAAGAAGGAAGAGTTTTACAGACAACTACAAACAGTAATGGACAACATTCCGAAAGCTGGCACAAAAATCCTCACAGGCGATATGAATGCTAGCCGAAATGGGAGCAAATTATATAGGAAGAGAAATCATCATCGATCGAGAGTCTCTGGGAGAAATGAATGAGAACGGAGAATTATCCGCAGAATTCTGCGCTTTCAATGATCTGGTGATCGGAGGCAGTGTGTACAAACACAAGGATATACTCACAGCAACATGGATTTCGCCTGAAGGAAATACCACAAACCAGATAGATTTCATCTCAACACTGTTCAAGGATGTGAAGACGCAGTCTTCTGGATACAAAGTCGACAAGGAGAGCAGATGTGGGCTCACACCGTCATCTAGTTTTAGGAACCTTCAAGGTGAAGATGAAATCCCTCAAAACAAATGGAGACAGGCCACAACTCAAGTTTGGCATTCAGAAACTGAACCACAAAACCACAAATCAGAGCAAAGTCGGAGACATATGATTATGAGCAATAATTTGTGCTCGATAAGTCATCAGTTAATATAACTGTACAACACTGTGTGATTTATGAAAATAAAATCTTATCTATAATGGAGTTATACTCTACTACTGTGCCCAAGTTTTATACTTACATCAAGAACAAATAGCACCAGTCATCATCAATGGGAGAAATTTGAAAGAGGTTACTTCCTTCAATTATCTCGGCAGCATTGTTTCAGTTACAGGTAGCAAGCACGCGTGAGGATGTGAATGCCAGCCAGAATTGGAAAGCCAAGACAAACCTTCATCACTCTGAAATCAGTTTGGACATCCTCCGCACTCAGCCAGCATAAAGAGCAAGATTCGGATTTTCAACACCAATCTTAAGCCAGTCACTTCTTCTATATAGGTCAGAAACGTGGCCAGCGGATCACGAAAGCCAACTGCAGACATTTATCAACAACAGCTGCCTTCGCTGAATCCATATTAAAGATCAAATAGCCAGCGAGAAAGAATCAGCAACGAGAAATTATGGGGACAAACCAATCAAAAAAATCGATTGCTCAACGAATATGTGGGAGAAAATGAAGATGGACTGGACACACACTGAGGAGACCGTCGAATGACATCGCATGCCAAGTCATGGCTGCAGTGGAATCAGAATGGGGGAAACGACGATTCGGGAGTGTGGTCAATGGTGACATGGAGGAGATTGGTGTTGTGAGGAGGAGATGAGAGATTATGGACGATTCGTGGACCTGCCTAAAGAGGATAGCAGAGAATAGGACAAAGTGGAGATGCGCTGTTGAAGCCCTGTATTCCACTCGGAACCAAAGGGAATAAAAAGAATAATAGTAAAATTCTTAAGCATGACACTGACGACACTTTGGCCGCAACCATTACGTACTGGTTCAAATAATTAACAGACACTTCTCTACTCTCATACAGGCTAATCTGGAATGAATTTTCAACGCACAAACATGCAATAAAGTGTAACACTTCAAAGTTGCCACTCTACACACACACACACACAAATAGAGCAAACACATACAGATACAGAAAGAAAAAATGTTACCAACAGTTTCAAGCCACTGGTGGTTACTAGCATCTCTGCACTTCCTACATGGATTAAACGCATAGCCTAAAACTGCATGCATTGTTGCCATGTTTCGATTCGCTTTCCAACACAACCCGACGTCAACTAACATCAATCGACGAGGAGGAGCAATGGCTTGGTGTGCATGCGTAACATGTGCCCCTGCCATTTCAATCGATGCAGCTTCACAAACTGATTGATTAACTCTCCTACTCACATAACTTAAATATCTCCCACTATATTATACCGCTTAACACCCATCCTGCAAGTGTAACTCAACGTGAAAAAGGCTCTCTCTTCTAATCTAAAACGAAGATAAGCACATGGAGTCCAGAACATGACTGCGTTTACACAGTTGTCAATTTTAAACTATGATTTATACGTTTTGTTAGCCTCACAATCAACAATCCGCAAGTCTACACACACTTATGCCCCACTAATACAGATAAGTGCATACGTGTATCACGTTTCGCGTTAAAAGAGGGGATTAGGTCAAAAAAAAATGTGTAATGTTTTGTGATCATAACGTTATACTTTTATTTTACAATATGGCATAGGATAAGATGAATCTCAGAAAACCATAACTACATATCCGGTATTACCAATAATCGAAACTGGTAAATACCCAAAAATTGGTTTCAAATTTATGACCAGCCAAACATGTAGCCGAGTGCTTTGGATATTAATCCAGAATCCCTGTCCCGTCGAACCTACAGTAATGAAAAAAAAACAAATTAAGGAATAAAGGGGTTTGTAAACAATTATATCAGTTAAGTATAATCTGAACGAGGTAAAATGTTAACTCAAGTAGTCACCGACAATTTCGGTCTGTATACAATCGCTGAGTTTCATTCTAAAAGGAATTGCTGATATGCAGTGCTTAGAATGCTTATTTCTTCCTAAGCTTCACTTGTTCATGTGTGTGCTGATGATGAGTCCCAAACGAAATTGAAACAGCTGTCCAGTACACCCACGTTCTCCAGTGGTTCTCTAACCGATGTCAGCTCATGATGAAATCCTGTAACCAGTCAAATCCCCGCAAACCAACACCTTGATAGTTAATCTAATTCTAACTAGCAACTGCCTGTATACAGAAAGTTACGTGGAGTTCTAGTGAGAAGTCGCAACCAGCGGAGTCCACCAAGTCAGGGAGGAGAACAGTTACTCGACCATGACATTGACTGGCGGTTGCGTTATAAACATCGTCAATTAGCAGAAGATGGAATTCATGGACTGACCATCGGATCAGGCAGGTGTCCCAGTGGCTTTATGGCCTACAACCTCACCTTGTAACCAGTAGGTCCTAGGTTCGAAACCCCATGGGTGAGTACTGTTGAAGAGTCCAGAACTAGGATGAGATACCAGTCCAGTACTCCCAGGTTCTTTAATGGTCCTCTAACTGATATCAATCCGTGACCAAAATTGATCACAAAGTTTATTATATTACTCTGCTCACGATTACTCCTACTAGTACTACTAAAAATTTCTCATAGAAACATGCCTAGATACGCACTTCACTACATCCTCATACCTCGTTGACTGGTAGATACTATGCACTTTCACTCAATTCCATAACAGGCTATAGAAGAAACTGCTATTTTTGGCACATTCAATAACTGCAACAATTATTCAGGCTTAGTGTAAGAGTAGAGTTTGGGTATCGTGGTAGAAAATAATCCAATATATCGGATGATTCGATCAGCAAAGATTCGGTGATTAAACTCTCCCTCCACTTAACTATGTTATTATATTGTGCCATGTACTACTAGCAAAATTTATCAATAGTATATAGGTGCAGATTGATAGGAAGTAACCTAAATTGAAAAACAACATTTTGAAACAATAGCTACAGAAATAGAAGTGTTTATTTCTCAAATTTGCAACTCGCCTACGTTGTGGTCAGAAAACAACCTCAAGATTTAACCCCCAAAAAATCAACAACTAATCAGAACAACCTACTGTCAGTAGACAACTTCACGTCCCAAAAGTTTGACCTTCAGAAAACTAACAACCAATCAGAATAGTTTATTATTCGTTGATCTAGTCGACCATAAATATAGCTAAAAACGTATAAATACGGTGAGTCTCACTAACAAAAAGGTCCCTTACCAAGTCTTATCCGGTTACAGATTCATAGTCGCGGACACTGACGAAAGCTATGGCCTTTTTGACCTTCCCTCATTAAAATCACTGTGTGCATTTATAGTAAACGAAATCCTTAAACTTTGGAGGGAAATAAAAATAATAACTAAGCAGATTGTGGGGAGTGGAAAGCGAAAAGGACATGAAATGAGAGTTGGTCAACTTACACTTGCTGTTCTTGACAGACTTGTTGGTCGATTAGATGCAGCCAACGATCGCATTGAATTATGTCTGCCAATGCTACTACCTACTGGTTTGTCTGTAAGCATATTATTGCCAGAATCCATTCCAGCATTTAATGATGGCGGCTTCAATCCACCCATATCTCTATTCGGAGTTCTATTCATTGTTTCAGTTGTTTTATTGTTAGCATCATCGATACCACGGCGAATATTGTTCATACTGTTGTTATTCGATGGACTAAGGAATACAGAATCATTTATATTACTAGTGTTTGTCTGTCTACAAAACACACCAGACTTTTCTCCATCTATTACTTGCTGTCGATGAACAAAAAGAAAGCAATAAATAATTAGAATTGCCAATCATCCCATTAGTGTAAAGCGACATGAGATGGTGGTAAATGGCTTGCAGTAGGAACTAAAATGCACCTTTCGTCTGATTCGGAGCTCATCAGCAGGATAATGTGACTGTATTCGCAGTGAATCATAACACTTTCCCCTCTCTCCCCCGCTGAGACTCGAACTTAGCATCCAACGTTTCAAGCACTACACATAGTTTTTCATTAGGCCACTGTATGGGGAGGGGCAGCAGTTATTAGCTGTTATCTTATGAGGTAGGAGAATCATACACACACACACAAAACACGTCGACTTTTTGATGGTTGGTATGTATTAAATGGCAGTAAAAAGATCAACAGTTTCTGCACATCACTCTGTGAGCAAGTAAACGGACAAAATTCACATTGGTTGAAGTGTTTCCACTATATTATTAGTATTCGCTATCTGCAAAATGTGATTACTAGCACTACTCTTTTTGACGTCAACTTTGTCATTACATACAGAGTGGGTAGACATAGGTCCCATAGATTGTACAATTGCGAAATTACACTAATCTATTATTAACATGGGTCGTGGATGAGAAATAGTACGAAAACAAAGTGCAGTGGCTATTTGTGGTTCTATAACTGAGAACCATCTTTTTTTTAAACTGGAACTGGGAACAGTCAAAACTCAAGTGTTAGCAGTCAACAACTTCATGTTGCATCATCAATAGCTTACTCCATATAGGGTCATTTTCAGGTTATCAATCGATTTTGATTAGTTATCGCCATCGATTGAGAATATATTATCTCCTTACAGTTAGTCAACTAAGAGAGTTCACAAACTTTTCGTTCATACAATTTTATGATTTATTTACAGTGGTTTCAATTTTTAAAAGAAACATCTCCCAGTATAGCTAAGTAAAGGTGTAGTGAAAACCATCAACAGTTCGATATTTGATCATCTGGTCCAAACCAGCCACAAAGCCAGCATTGAAGAATCCTTCTCTATCATCTACCGTGTGCCAAATAAATTGCCGAAAACAGCGAAGTACCACATGCTCCAAACAGCAGAGGCTATTTCAATTCGCCTCAAATAACCAGTGCTTTGTGTGCAAAAGAAGCAAGTCCAGCCACTACTATTGCCCTGGCCTTTAGTGGAGATTATAAATCCATGAATTTGTATTATTATCTTTACTAATTTTTCTGACATTTAGTTTATTGTTATATTGATGCTATTTAACTATAATCTATTGATATTCGTGGTTATTTAAACATTAATGTTGTTCACAACACTAATTCATTCATTCACTATAATGTATATATAACTGCAGAGCCTGATGATGAAGTTATCGAAAAGAGTATTCTTTGTTCAGTATCCATTTTTTGGAAACAGTAATGATAGTGACTTCAAAAGAATAATTTAAGCTCCAAGTACAGTTCACCAACCCAACAAAATTGTTAAAATCAATATAAGAAAGAAAACCTACTGTTTTTAATTGAGCACTTTCACGTTGTAATTCAGCTGCTTGTTGTCGGATCCGACGTCGATTCTCTTCAACTTGTGACAGCTGAATTTTAACACGTTCTAATTCTTGTATTCTATTTTTATCTTCTTCCCGTTTAGCTTTTAAAGCATCAATTTGTTCACGAAATTCGATTACTTCAGCACGTAGATTTGCCAGTTCCAACTCTGTGTCTGGGATGTACTTACCAGTACCACTTGGAACAGCTGATACAGATGTTTTTGGTATTTTTTGAGACGTATCTCTAAGTTCACTTGGTGCATTTTCAGAATCCACCTTCTGCGCAGCCGCTTTTACATCACTAAGTGCTGCTGTCGCTTGCGAGATCTCTGGAGGATTTATTGGCATTTTAATACCAGTAGGGATAGGCGGTGTTGATGTAGTAGTGGTAGTAGAAGTGGGGAGTTTACTCCCACTTATCATCTTACGAGTCGGACTATCCGATTTTGAAATTTGTGTGTAAGATTGACTCATTATGTCTGATGCACCAGGTTTATCCGCAGAAGGCTTACTAGAAGGACTTTCAATTTTTGCAGAGGCAGTTTCAGGTTTTAAAGCTGTTGATGTTGGAGCTGGACTACTTCGTACAAGGTCTGGATTAGATCCAGTTGGTGGAAGCTATAAAAGTGAAGAAAAAATGAGTAAAAGTATGGAAAGTGATGGTTTGACATGCGCTGCTTCAAAAAGGAATTGGCGCTCAAAACAACGCCTACACTGACACCTCAAGTGATATGACTGAAGGATTAGTGCGGAACACTGCACAACACTTCATTAGTTCATGGTGCTACACTTCAAAGCACCACATAGAAACTCCAATGCTGAGTGCAAAAATTTACCACCAAGAAGAGAAGCAGATATACCTTTTGTAATTTAGCAAAACACGAGATAACAGAATAAACTGGTACTCATAACGTGCAACACACTAGGTGGTTGTGTTAAACATGTTGTTTATTTTAAATATATACAAGACCACCAAAAACTCAAGCTTAATACATGTACAGTAAAAGGAAGAGTAAAGTTTAACAACAATTTAAAGTAATCTTAGACCTTATTGTATTATAATTGCTACTCCCACGGGTTACTGGTAGAAAATTAGGCTTCACAGCAGCACAGATTCATTGCATCTTGTTCTCCGCAGTCTTTTCTTAGGTGGCTCCTCGACTGCTCATAAGCTTTCATCTTAACCTTACACGAACTCATCCATGCCATCCTCGGACAAACAACGCATCTTTCGCTTCCCATTCATGTTTTACTCGAGTGCTTGGAGCATGATGCCACGGTCTTCTCAGTGTATTTCTGATCCATATATATGTCCTTCTACATATTTCTACATGGGCAATAGGCTTTTGGGCAGTTGGCTGACGGAGTTCCTTGTTGCTTACCTTTCTGGTCAGCCATCTGATCCTCAGTATGGAACCAAGTCTGTCTGGTATGCTTTTGATAGTGCGCCAATTCTCTGAACCATATGGAATCACTGACTGACTTGACAATGGTATTGGAAATTCGGATCTTGTTACTTATACAGAGTTCGATGGATTCCCACACTGATTTCAAAGTAATGAAGGCCCGTATTGCCTTTTCAACCTTGCCTTTGACATCTTCATCTTTGCTTCCCGCCTAGGTAATTGAAAGAAGTGGCTTCCTTCACACTTCCCCCATTGATGTTAGTTCGTTCTTGTTGCTGTCGATTAGGTTTCTAATCACTTCTGTTTTATCAATGTTCATTTGAAGTCCGGTCTTCACTGCCTCTTCCACTAACTTGCTGGTCTTTCGCTTGTAGATCTTCAAACTTCTGCGAAATCAGACATAAATCATCGACGAATGTCCAGATATTCCAGTGTCTTTTTTTCCCTCCAGTGAGGGCATGACCCATTTGCTTGACAACAGTGTATCTATACATAACTTATACATCTATTAATTATAAATCATATCTAATAAATGAATGACGAATCAACGTAGAACATTACTCAGACACGTGTGTCAGTCCACTTAATCATACTTAAACTTTAACCATAGTACAATGGAGCGACTACTTATAATTTGCTATTTTGAAAAAAAATATTCAATTAGTGTCAGTTAATCATAAAAGTATGTCGATGGCTCAAGATTAGAATGGGCACACCAACCAACCACACAAGATTCAGGGCTCAATTCGCAGTTGACGCACTATCTGAAATCACGCTCAGCTGGTATTAGGCCCGTAGAAAGATACAAGATTGAGCGTAAGGTTAGCAACCACACTCATCAAAGGAATAACACCACTGCTACTGAAACTTCAAAGCTTCAAGTTCGAAGTTCCATGTTCCACCCGGGAACTCAAAGGAAAATCAGCCATTTTCACTTTGTCCAATTACTCTTATTATTGTTCTGATCAATTTCACTGAATGATATGTACGTATGAAATAAGAGCAATCTCCGACCTGTTAGAAAATATACAAATTAAGATAATCTCAACCAACAGCAAAGGTACAAAGATTGAAAGTCTTGAAATTAACAGAAGGCTTGTTTGTGTTAGCTTTAATAAAACTTTACACCGCTTATCGGTTTTTCCCCTCCACACTATACACAAATGCCTTACCAAACTAGATCGTCTTGATGTAGGTTTAGTGAACAAAAACAATAAGAATAATAATAGAGCATAAGAATAATTTGCCAGAAAAAGAAACAAATAAAGCACGTGAACTAAAAGTAATACAATAAACAACTAAGGTGTGTATAGGCACATGTATATTTCTTCCATTATGGGTAAATTTTTATTTTGATAGAGTCTCACAGTGTTATAGAGTAATATTTACTGATGACGTTTCGAGCACAATTTATTGCTCATAATCATATCAAGGTCCGTGGAGCGGACTGTTGAGCAGTACACACGCCCCTTGGTCGATAGTCGGATATCGCGTCTACGCCAGAGGTGGCGTAAACTGGCATATGCGAAACTAGCCCTCTGTATTCGTGCTGAGAATAAAACATTATCAGGGTGAGGCGCGTGCAAATAACACACAGCCTTCTTCAAACCTTGCACACAACCATTAGGTCGCGTACTATCCGCGACCTAACGGCTTTTGTCAGTCGATCAGTAAATGATGTCTAATTTTCTGGACGACTGGTGATGATATCCTGATAAACTGGTGCATTTTTGTGTTAAGTCACATTATATTTTGACTTATCATAGAATACTGACAATAACTGCCTGGAGTTGACACGGGATGATGACCGATTGCGTCACTAGTCTTGTTTACAATGTAGATGTAATCAGTACAATGCCACCATAGCCGTCCACAGTCTCGTACACTGTTTAGTTGAACAACCAGTTTCAGTCTTTGATTACAGTACGACGTATGATTGTCGAAGATGCAGACAACTGGTTCTCCATATTTTCTGATAGACTGTTATTCAAAACGTCTAAATTCTTCATAAACAGAATATTTTTGACCTTCCAGTTTATAAAACCTCACCTCGTTTACGAGCTCGCTAGCTTTCTAGCCGGTCCCAAACTCGCGTGAAGAGTAAAGGTCGGACGTGGGGGGTAGCGATCCTACACCACCAAAACAATCAATCTGCTACACAAACTTCAGTGCACAGGAAAAATACAGAAAATATAACAAATCAGACTTAATTCTCTCTGGAATTAGAGAGGCGAAATGACATAGCAGGCTGGTGAAAGCCTTCGGGAAGCCAGTCAGTTGATGTGTCGTCTTCCAATAATGTCAAGAACAACAATGTGAGTGTGGAGTGTTCGTACAATGTACAAAGCTGGAAAGGCTGCCGAGTTAGCCAAAGAAATGAGGAGATAAGGTATAGAAGTGCTGGGAATTTGCGAGAGCAGATGAAATGGATGTGGATTGTCAAAATTGTCAACTGGAGAGTCAATAATCTACTCCGATCTGTCATCCAGACGACGACTACGAGCACACTGAGTCAGTCAATAGCTATCATGATGTAACCTTACCAAACTAGATCGTCTTGATGTAGGTTTAGTGAACAAAAACAATAAGAATAATAATAGAGCATAAGAATAATTTGCCAGAAAAAGAAACAAATAAAGCACGTGAACTAAAAGTAATACAATAAACAACTAAGGTGTGTATAGGCACATGTATATTTCTTCCATTATGGGTAAATTTTTATTTTGATAGAGTCTCACAGTGTTATAGAGTAATATTTACTGATGACGTTTCGAGCACAATTTATTGCTCATAATCATATCAAGGTCCGTGGAGCGGACTGTTGAGCAGTACACACGCCCCTTGGTCGATAGTCGGATATCGCGTCTACGCCAGAGGTGGCGTAAACTGGCATATGCGAAACTAGCCCTCTGTATTCGTGCTGAGAATAAAACATTATCAGGGTGAGGCGCGTGCAAATAACACACAGCCTTCTTCAAACCTTGCACACAACCATTAGGTCGCGTACTATCCGCGACCTAACGGCTTTTGTCAGTCGATCAGTAAATGATGTCTAATTTTCTGGACGACTGGTGATGATATCCTGATAAACTGGTGCATTTTTGTGTTAAGTCACATTATATTTTGACTTATCATAGAATACTGACAATAACTGCCTGGAGTTGACACGGGATGATGACCGATTGCGTCACTAGTCTTGTTTACAATGTAGATGTAATCAGTACAATGCCACCATAGCCGTCCACAGTCTCGTACACTGTTTAGTTGAACAACCAGTTTCAGTCTTTGATTACAGTACGACGTATGATTGTCGAAGATGCAGACAACTGGTTCTCCATATTTTCTGATAGACTGTTATTCAAAACGTCTAAATTCTTCATAAACAGAATATTTTTGACCTTCCAGTTTATAAAACCTCACCTCGTTTACGAGCTCGCTAGCTTTCTAGCCGGTCCCAAACTCGCGTGAAGAGTAAAGGTCGGACGTGGGGGGTAGCGATCCTACACCACCAAAACAATCAATCTGCTACACAAACTTCAGTGCACAGGAAAAATACAGAAAATATAACAAATCAGACTTAATTCTCTCTGGAATTAGAGAGGCGAAATGACATAGCAGGCTGGTGAAAGCCTTCGGGAAGCCAGTCAGTTGATGTGTCGTCTTCCAATAATGTCAAGAACAACAATGTGAGTGTGGAGTGTTCGTACAATGTACAAAGCTGGAAAGGCTGCCGAGTTAGCCAAAGAAATGAGGAGATAAGGTATAGAAGTGCTGGGAATTTGCGAGAGCAGATGAAATGGATGTGGATTGTCAAAATTGTCAACTGGAGAGTCAATAATCTACTCCGATCTGTCATCCAGACGACGACTACGAGCACACTGAGTCAGTCAATAGCTATCATGATGTAACCTTACCAAACTAGATTGTCTTGATGTAGGTTTAGTGAACAAAAACAATAAGAATAATAATAGAGCATAAGAATAATTTGCCAGAAAAAGAAACAAATAAAGCACGTGAACTAAAAGTAATACAATAAACAACTAAGGTGTGTATAGGCACATGTATATTTCTTCCATTATGGGTAAATTTTTATTTTGATAGAGTCTCACAGTGTTATAGAGTAATATTTACTGATGACGTTTCGAGCACAATTTATTGCTCATAATCATATCAAGGTTCTTGATATGATTATGAGCACATGTCCTAACCATCTCAGTCGATGTAAATTCACAGTCTCGTCGACTGACTTCCCCTCCTTACCTAGCAGTCGACGCCTAACCTCAATACTGCTCACCTTATCATACCACTTCACGCGGGAGATAGGACGCAGACAACTATGATTGACGACAGCTAATCTTTTCAAGCCTTCTGCGCTCAATGGCCAGGTCTCACAGCCATAAAGGAGGACGGAGCGGACTGTTGAGCAGTACACACGCCCCTTGGTCGATAGTCGGATATCGCGTCTACGCCAGAGGCGGCGTAAACTGGCATATGCGAAACCAGCCCTCTGTATTCGTGTTGAGATTTCGTCGGGGATCAACCCGTTGGGGATGATGATACTTCCCAAGCAAGTGATGCGGTCAATGTGCTCTACCACTTCACTTCCTATTTCTAATCTAGGGGTCGGTGAAGTCCAATCCTGCAGCATCATCTTACATTTTACAGGGGCGAATCGCATGCCAAACATACGAAGATTGTTGCTCAAGGTGTTCAGTAGACTCTGCATTTTGTCAGCGTCCTCGCCTAGAAGGACTATATCGTCCGCATATTCTAAGTCGCCGAGATTATTCCCTGGTAGCGAGTCAATCCCTGAGTCGCTGAAGTGTGTTAGGGTTAAGTCCATTAGTACGTCTATGATGAAGTTGAATAGGAATAGGGATAATGGGCATCCTCGACGGACGCCACTAGTCGTCACCACTTCAGATGACAACTCGCCACAAGCCCTCACCTGACCGCATCAGTACGAGTAGAGTGCTTTAATCAGTGCAATGTATTTTCTAGGCATTCCCTTTACAGCCAAGCATCGCCAGAGAACCTCTCGGTCGACAGAATCGAATGCCGCCTTTAGGTCAAGAAATATAATGATTGTTGGACGCCGGTAGGAATGCCTATGTTATAGAATCTGTCGAAGGGTGAAGACAGATTCTAGAACATAGGCATATATATATATATACTCAATACACAGTAAAAGCAAAATGTGAAAGAAATCGATTAGCGACTATAAATTCTTAACACAATAAAGAGAAGTGTATACATACATGTTAAGAAGTTTACTAACACAAAATAATAAGTCGATAAATTATAAAAATATCAAATGTATTAAGTTCACTGGAAAATCAGCTGTCTATTAAGAAATAGAATCATTCTATCTGGCACGATAGATACGGCAAGCCAATCAAATGGATAACTTACAGTTTGATCCCGAACTGACTTCACTCAAGACCCCCTGCCAGCAAGAATCGAAGCCAAGACCTTCAAGATACAAGGCGAGATCTTTGATCACTCAGCCGTTGGCATAGAATCCAATGACCAGCCCATGAATTCTAACTTCTGTCAATTTCTCGCGATATTCAGTGCGACCACCAGCCAACCTCATCGGCCACTGGATTCTGTCTCAGCAGCTAAATGGTCAGAGACCTTGCCTTGTAACCCGAGGGCTTCGGGTTCATTCGCTTTTTGTGAGACTGTGGGTGCGTACTGTTCAAGAGTCCCGAACTAGAAGGAGACAGTTGTCCAGTACTCCCTAGTTTTTAATGTGCTTCTCTAACCGAAATCAATCAAATCCCTATATATGAAAGCACGCCACGATTTTCTAGATAGCCTCGAAAAATATAATTTATGTGACACTGTCAGTCATCACAACATATTAAAAAAAGACTAAACTTACTTGTGATGTCTTTTCAATTTCTGATGGAACTGTAACGAAAAAAAGGAAGAACAAAATAATAAATATACAGTAGTATGAATCCGATCAGAAAAAAATAAAAATAAAAATTAGATGTTATAGCATATGCTGTAATTATGGATTAAAAGCATTAGACGAATGTTATGACTAGAACAAAAGAAATGAGGCAAAATTAAAGCGTAGCTGTTATATAATGTAAGATTGATGTATATAAACCAATCAATAATACATATATTATGTTTCTTGTTTCAGTTAAGCATGCACTCATAGAAAACAGAACATACGTCTACCAGCTGAGGCAGGTACACTAGCCTTATCCTTCACAGATGAAGTAGAACTAGCTAGAGGAGAACGTTTGAGACCGGATAACTTTGAAGTTCATCCTATGATATGTATGATATCGAAAATTGAATGATGAAACAGTGAAAAACAGAAATTTATCTGATTTATGAAAAATAAAGTCATGGTTGCATACAGAGTATAAACAAATTACCCGACGACAGATTTTTTTCCATAAAAAAAACTTTTTGATGGGTCACTGAAAACAAAATGCACTGGACGATAATTTCACTACATTTCTGTACAAATAGAATAGTTCAACGTCTCAGAGAAAGGACGTTGTCTTCGAATTAATTATTATGACCGAAATTAAAGGTAGTCAAAACTTACAAAAACAGTGACTGAATATAATCGAGTGGTGATCAAAGCTAGGACAAAACCCTCAGTAGCAGAACTTAAGCCAATGACTTCGATAACACGCAATGACTGAAATTTAAATGACATCAGTCACTAAATTTCAATCAGGTAGAGCTCAATTACCCGGAACAGATTTTCCATGTGCCAAACTAAGAGCCACACTCATTATGTGAGAACTGATGATACTATCCAATTGCCCAGGTTGAAGTAGATGGAGTGATATTCGAACCTCTGACCCATCAGTTGTACACCGAGTGCTTAGCCTAATGAACTTCATCTCCAGCAGAGCAATAGCAATGTGTCTGCTGTAAGGGTCAAGTGTTTTGGTTCAACCTAAAAAGTATAGCATGTGCATCAGCGAAAGACCCAAACGTAAGATAAAAAACTGATGGGCTAATCTATATTTCCAATAACATTTCAGATAATGTTGATTAGATTCACCTGTCTTAAAAATGACCTAGTTTCCAAAACTACTGAATGAAATGTCCCTGAGATTTGTCGCGTTCCTTTTTTGTACTACAGCTTTACAACAAACTGTCAGTAGTGTCATAATTGATAACATTATTTCAAAGTTACTTTAGTTCAAACACAATAATACTCAGTGGTGCATCGGTGGCACAGCGGTTAGGACTCTCGTTGACCATACACATGGTCTGAGGTTCGATTCCTTGCCGGCGCATACCTGATATCAATTGGTCAGCCTGCGAAATTCGGGCTACTGATATCACATGCTGAAAATTCCATACTTCTACCAAAAATACAGTATAGAATCAAGCTATAATAAAAAAAAGTCTAATATGAGGAAGCATTGATGATAAGTATCAAGAAACACGAAGTATTGGTCATTTAACTTTTTATTAGTTGATTTATATTATTAAAAACGGTTTGAAGAGCACAGCGACGTATAACTTTCAAACCTACTGAAAAAAGCTGATCAATCAGATTTCATCAACATGTGTAACGAAACAAAGTGAAATCAACTGGAATCCAATGAATGATAAATTCATGGAGAACTGAGTTAAATTCCAGTCAGTGGATAACGAATTGAAACACCGCTACACTAATTAAGGCATGAGCATCTCAGCTATGACATTAATTTCCATACAACAGACAGTTTTCTGTTTAGTATCACCATCTATAAATGGGTAATGAATTGAGTGTAGCAAAACTTCTAACTCCTTTATCAGGCAATACAAATGAAGTAAGCATACAAATCACTTCAGCTGACAAATAATGTTATTGATGTAAATAACACTATGTGCTCCCTTGGGGTTAAAATGCTACATTACATTACTTTTATACATATTAGTGATAAGATTCAAAACGAAGTAGATAAATGACGAACAGGCAGAAAATAAAACATTGAATACCTTTAACTGTCTCAGGAGTTTTCAATCCTACAGACAACGAAGATGTCGAACCAGCAAGTTTTGTAACTTCCTTTGATTCTGAAGTGGCACCTGATTCGGAAACAACGCTAGATGAGGATAACTTCATCACGTCTGATCTTTCCGGACCATCTAGAAGAGTAAGCTGGATAACAAAGGAGGAATAAATAAATTAGATTTTTTAATTGCAAGATGCATTCACGATCGATATTTTTGGACACAACCTGAATAAAGTACAACAAAATATATACTACTGTTGCGAATGAAATCTAATTAATACTTTTTAGGGGACCAGTTCATTGGACTAAAATATTTACCTGCCAAACAAAGAGATAAAACAAAGGACGCTGGATTCAATGAGTCAAATTTAACAATAAATATTAGTTAATTTACTTTGTTACAAACTCCAGACTCATATCTGTCATGTTATTTGGTGTATAGGGACTATCAGTGGAATCCCGGAAGTACGTTCCCTCTCGTTTAGGACTCGTCATCTAGAGGTAACTGCAATCTCCAGTGTGTGTGATGGTATTTCTGCTGAGAATCAAACCCAGTCCCCGTCGTTTCAAACGCCAGTGTTAACCACTAAGCCACTTCGGCAGCAAATAACATCACTGTTGATCCTCAGACATCATCGGATAGTCCACATTCAGAGCCGCATGTCGACAGAAGCCAAACATTTCCGTTCAATTAATCAACGGGAAAAACAAGAATTGACTTACACAAAATGGAGAAAACTTATTACGGTTCGCATTCTCAACTAATCATCGCAGAACCACCTGACACATTTCATAATATCACTCAAAGACAAACACTGTAAACAGTTCTTAACATAATAAAACAGAAAAATGGCACAATGCGGGACAAGAGAATTAAAATATGTCCTGGATATTGGACTATACAGTATTTGAATGGAGTCATATTACTATTATCCTACCATTATTAATACAAGGAGTTGCATGATTGTATGATGGTTCATGTATACATATATATACATATATATATGTATAAAATAAGAATGCGAATAGAGAAGTGATGTTAACAATGTAATCAGAAGTGGTAAAATATTGTGAAATAAAAGGACAGAAACAAAGTATGTGACAACACATTTAAAATAAAAAGATGAGAATACGTTTGCGTCTGTATAATTTATTTTGATCCCAATCACCCACAATCTTTAGTCACGAGTTTTGGTAGTCATTTCGACCACAGCAAGCAAGTTGCACTTTTCCAAACTAATTGGACTAACAGTCATGAATTCATTCATTGGCTGGGTACGGATACGGCCACCCTTGACTCAACAAGCCATGGTAGGTGGTAAGTAGGCGTAACAAATGATAAAACCAATTTAGACGATTGACAGTTAATTTTCTATCAAAAAAGAGAGGTGGTGTGTAGAATAAATGAATGTAATCTTTGCAGACTCAACACTGATGACTAAACACTGGGATAATATAACGGCGCATACTGATATATTCTTGACGCCTAATAGGTATACAGATATTTCACTAAAGAAGTGGATAACGAAAATGAGACGGCCTTCACACTTCACCAATTGATAACAAAGTGACTTTCTAAAGTTGAAATAAGTGTCGGTTCAAACATTTGCGGGAGTGAGAAATTATATTTAGAAGAACCCAACTACCCGGAAAACATATTTAATGTACCCACCTACGAATTACGCATTATGTAGAGGCTTCTGATACTAATCAGTTGCTCAGGTTGCAGTAAGTGAAATGGGATTAGAGCCCGGTGTCCACTGGTTTGAAGGCAAGATCTAAAGCCAATGAGCACCAAGTCCAGTTTCTTAGAAAACAAGGAATATATCGCACACATTCCTAAAGTCTCACAAACCATTGGATAGACAATGTTTTAGCAGTATATTCTTCAGGGGGCGCACTCTGTCTGTTCTTTAAGATATTAAGGTATGGCTGAGACTAACAATCGGAAGTAAGGAAGAAAATCGACTGCCTGGTGCATATTGAAGCAAAGGCTGAGCAAGCATAAAAGTTATCGCCTTCTAAGGAAATGTTGCGAAACAACTACTCGACAGAAATGACAGTAAGTCCCGACATCATGTTGATTAAGCCCTTTGGATGCTCTAGTGTCATAAGCTCTATGGGCTGGAGACTACAGTTGGATTCAGTTCCCGGCGAAGTTAACGTATCACAGCCAAAGTCAAGGTCTGTCAAAAGTGGACATCCAAGAACCAATCAGATTTACGGAAATGTCATTCGAAATCAAATCATGCTTACCGTTTAGAATTTGGCGAGAGTAGATACAGTATTCTACTTATTCCCCATGTACTTTTTCTGTGAATCTGTACTGCAGGTATGCTACGGTTATGGCTTTTAAGATTACGGTTACAGTTAGGTGTAGGTTAAAGAAGTGTCAGAAACATCAGTGGATTTCAAAGTATCACGATCAACAGTCACCTGGATGAAGAAATCTATCACGCATGGTAAGACTTCTCTTTAGGTTGTCCGGTTAGCGACCGGGAGACATCCTTACAACACATAAGCGACAATTATTCAGTGTAATATCGTATTCACAATGTGCATTAATGCATTTTCCACAGATTATGCGACCTGTTTTCATCTGAATTCTGATTGGTTGCCCTAAGTCACCGTAATTTTGGTTATGATAGTTTAACTTCGCCTAGGTTCCACTAAGTGTGCCTGTAGGTCTGAACAATGCTACAATATAATTCCACGCAGAGTAAGAATACCAGCAGACTAAATATTCAGTTGGGAATCCAGTTTCATGGGGCTGGGAATACCTTTTTATAATCTGATATAAATACGGAGTGCAAGGACTGAAAAAGCTAAATAGGGTAATGCGAAATTGATGAGAAAGATATTATGGAGCCCCTGATAGTAAAGACTTCTTATAATATGCATTAGCTGACACATAGAGAGATGCAAGCAATGCATAAAACCGTTTAAAATAAAACATACCTGAGATGGGCGCACAAATATCCCAAAATTTTCCTCACATGTAAAGTAACGTTTCCCCTTAACCGTGCCGTTGTTCTTCCCTTTGGGCTCGTCTAGTATTATACCCACCCATTTTCCTAAGTCCACGATGAGAACAAAAATTTTTTACCTGGTGAGAATTGTGTTATTCCGACAAAAGCAACGGTCCCAAAAACGGATCTCGATGCTATTTTAACACGACAACCAACTTTTACTTTCTCTTCAGCCATACAGCTGTAATAGAACAACACAAACAATTATACAGATCTAGCACGCAGGGTAGAGCGAAGAAGCAGAACACGACTTGAGGAAAAGCACTTTATAATTGACACTGAATTACACCAGCAGCAGTCCAAAAAAAATACATACATGTTGTGAATTTCTCCCAAAAGAAATCCGAAACGATAATCCAAATTATAGATTTAACCACACGTAGAGTGACGCGTAAAGTGCGAAATACAGGATATTCTGCAATACGGTACTTTATTACATAAAAATAGATATATAATATACAAACCTCAAGATGTGAGGTATCTGTGGCTAAATGCCGTCAAATGCACAACCACTGTGCAGTCAATAAGTAAAAACAGCAATGCTGTGTCAAGGTTGATCCACGTGTCGGTTCAAACGGCCCGCGAATGCCAAGCAAAGAATAAACAAATATGAACAAACAACTTTCAATAGGAAAGCATACACTATAGGGTAAGGACAGCAAATAATGTTTAAGGAGAAGAAAAATAAGAACTATACATTGATAGAATGATAATAGAAGAAGTAATTTAACTGCAGTTGTAAGCAAATGTCATTGTTATAAATTAACATATAAAAACCATACTACCATACTTACAAATGGCAAGTAGTATAATGTTGAACAAAGGAAAGATTGAGAATGAACAAGTAGGAAAGGAATTAACACCGCCCCCTCAAAACCAGCCTGGTTTTACCTACTCTACCTGCTAGTAAGACACAGAAATGGTACAATTTACTCTCGCCACATCTGCATCCACTATCCAGCTATATATCCTACAAAGTGCTTATCTCTCCTCAGTATTTTCTAATAGGCAAACCTTACGCACATCTCGGTTGACTATACCCCTCGGTGTCTTGATATCCACTTTTCTGATATACCCATCACAGCTTGCCGTAATACCTGTAATTATTCCCATTGAACAAAGATTGCGAGGTGAAGGCTCCGCAGTCACTAGTACTAGGTCTCCCACTTGTAAGTTCCGATGTCGTTGAACCCACTTTGCACGCGATTGTATAGTCGTCAAGTACTCCCGCTTCCACCGTCTCCAAAACGTATCGGCAAGGAGTTGCCCTTGTTTCCATCGTCGTGAACAACGTCCACATAAACTAACGTCAATTGTGGCTCGTTTTAAAGCATAGGCTGCACAAAAAGGTGATGATGCAGCACCGAAGGGATGTACGTTTAATTGATATAGGCTCGGTGGTAAGTCCGTCAATACCATAAGAAACTAAAGGCACTATCGAAAATCACTCTTATTTTCCCAGGCTTGCGGGGATTTATAACTGGGTGGTGAGGGATAAATCTACGTTTCTTGGAGAAGTCGTCAGGAACGCGACTAATGTAACCCTTCCACTCATGGTCTGTTGGTATTTGATTGTAGGACTTTAATAGGCTTTCGTCCTTTTTGAGTTTCTTCTGAAGACTGTCCAGCCTGCGTTCTGCCTCAAACCTATTAGGCGGTAATCTACGCCAGTCCTCTTTCCAAGTCAATGGAACTTCATAATGTCCGTTCCGCAATCGTATCTCCCTATCGGTTGCCTTCAGAACCTCTTTATCTATTTCAGAACTGGACCTTTCGTATGAGTGCTTGTCATGAAATTCAGCTTCAATCATTCGCAAAGGCTTGTTCTCTACTGATTCACTTTCCTCTAAGCAGAAGATAGAGGTTGCTTCTTTATAAATAAATTAGATTTTTTAATTGCAGATGCATTCACGATCGATATTTTTGGACACAACCTGAATAAAGTACAACAAAATATATACTACTGTTGCGAATGAAATCTAATTAATACTTTTTAGGGGACCAGTACATTGGACTAAAATATTTACCTGCCAAACAAAGAGATAAAACAAAGGACGCTGGATTCAATGAGTCAAATTTAACAATAAATATTAGTTAATTTACTTTGTTACAAACTCCAGACTCATATCTGTCATGTTATTTGGTGTATAGGGACTATCAGTGGAATCCCGGAAGTACGTTCCCTCTCGTTTAGGACTCGTCATCTAGAGGTAACTGCAATCTCCAGTGTGTGTGATGGTATTTCTGCTGAGAATCAAACCCAGTCCCCGTCGTTTCAAACGCCAGTGTTAACCACTAAGCCACTTCGGCAGCAAATAACATCACTGTTGATCCTCAGACATCATCGGATAGTCCACATTCAGAGCCGCATGTCGACAGAAGCCAAACATTTCCGTTCAATTAATCAACGGGAAAAACAAGAATTGACTTACACAAAATGGAGAAAACTTATTACGGTTCGCATTCTCAACTAATCATCGCAGAACCACCTGACACATTTCATAATATCACTCAAAGACAAACACTGTAAACAGTTCTTAACATAATAAAACAGAAAAATGGCACAATGCGGGACAAGAGAATTAAAATATGTCCTGGATATTGGACTATACAGTATTTGAATGGAGTCATATTACTATTATCCTACCATTATTAATACAAGGAGTTGCATGATTGTATGATGGTTCATGTATATATATATATATATATATAAATGTAAGGTAATAAGAATGCGAATAGAGAAGTGATGTTAACAATGTAATCAGAAGTGGTAAAATATTGTGAAATAAAAGGACAGAAACAAAGTATGTGACAACACATTTAAAATAAAAAGATGAGAATACGTTTGCGTCTGTATAATTTATTTTGATCCCAATCACCCACAATCTTTAGTCACGAGTTTTGGTAGTCATTTCGACCACAGCAAGCAAGTTGCACTTTTCCAAACTAATTGGACTAACAGTCATGAATTCATTCATTGGCTGGGTACGGATACGGCCACCCTTGACTCAACAAGCCATGGTAGGTGGTAAGTAGGCGTAACAAATGATAAAACCAATTTAGACGATTGACAGTTAATTTTCTATCAAAAAAGAGAGGTGGTGTGTAGAATAAATGAATGTAATCTTTGCAGACTCAACACTGATGACTAAACACTGGGATAATATAACGGCGCATACTGATATATTCTTGACGCCTAATAGGTATACAGATATTTCACTAAAGAAGTGGATAACGAAAATGAGACGGCCTTCACACTTCACCAATTGATAACAAAGTGACTTTCTAAAGTTGAAATAAGTGTCGGTTCAAACATTTGCGGGAGTGAGGAATTATATTTAGAAGAACCCAACTACCCGGAAAACATATTTAATGTACCCACCTACGAATTACGCATTATGTAGAGGCTTCTGATACTAATCAGTTGCTCAGGTTGCAGTAAGTGAAATGGGATTAGAGCCCGGTGTCCACTGGTTTGAAGGCAAGATCTAAAGCCAATGAGCACCAAGTCCAGTTTCTTAGAAAACAAGGAATATATCGCACACATTCCTAAAGTCTCACAAACCATTGGATAGACAATGTTTTAGCAGTATATTCTTCAGGGGGCGCACTCTGTCTGTTCTTTAAGATATTAAGGTATGGCTGAGACTAACAATCGGAAGTAAGGAAGAAAATCGACTGCCTGGTGCATATTGAAGCAAAGGCTGAGCAAGCATAAAAGTTATCGCCTTCTAAGGAAATGTTGCGAAACAACTACTCGACAGAAATGACAGTAAGTCCCGACATCATGTTGATTAAGCCCTTTGGATGCTCTAGTGTCATAAGCTCTATGGGCTGGAGACTACAGTTGGATTCAGTTCCCGGCGAAGTTAACGTATCACAGCCAAAGTCAAGGTCTGTCAAAAGTGGACATCCAAGAACCAATCAGATTTACGGAAATGTCATTCGAAATCAAATCATGCTTACCGTTTAGAATTTGGCGAGAGTAGATACAGTATTCTACTTATTCCCCATGTACTTTTTCTGTGAATCTGTACTGCAGGTATGCTACGGTTATGGCTTTTAAGATTACGGTTACAGTTAGGTGTAGGTTAAAGAAGTGTCAGAAACATCAGTGGATTTCAAAGTATCACGATCAACAGTCACCTGGATGAAGAAATCTATCACGCATGGTAAGACTTCTCTTTAGGTTGTCCGGTTAGCGACCGGGAGACATCCTTACAACACATAAGCGACAATTATTCAGTGTAATATCGTATTCACAATGTGCATTAATGCATTTTCCACAGATTATGCGACCTGTTTTCATCTGAATTCTGATTGGTTGCCCTAAGTCACCGTAATTTTGGTTATGATAGTTTAACTTCGCCTAGGTTCCACTAAGTGTGCCTGTAGGTCTGAACAATGCTACAATATAATTCCACGCAGAGTAAGAATACCAGCAGACTAAATATTCAGTTGGGAATCCAGTTTCATGGGGCTGGGAATACCTTTTTATAATCTGATATAAATACGGAGTGCAAGGACTGAAAAAGCTAAATAGGGTAATGCGAAATTGATGAGAAAGATATTATGGAGCCCCTGATAGTAAAGACTTCTTATAATATGCATTAGCTGACACATAGAGAGATGCAAGCAATGCATAAAACCGTTTAAAATAAAACATACCTGAGATGGGCGCACAAATATCCCAAAATTTTCCTCACATGTAAAGTAACGTTTCCCCTTAACCGTGCCGTTGTTCTTCCCTTTGGGCTCGTCTAGTATTATACCCACCCATTTTCCTAAGTCCACGATGAGAACAAAAATTTTTTACCTGGTGAGAATTGTGTTATTCCGACAAAAGCAACGGTCCCAAAAACGGATCTCGATGCTATTTTAACACGACAACCAACTTTTACTTTCTCTTCAGCCATACAGCTGTAATAGAACAACACAAACAATTATACAGATCTAGCACGCAGGGTAGAGCGAAGAAGCAGAACACGACTTGAGGAAAAGCACTTTATAATTGACACTGAATTACACCAGCAGCAGTCGGAAAAGATATATACATGTATATACAGAGAGCTAGACTTTTACAGTTCAGCGTAAACCGGTTTTTGAACTGACCCCTCCTTTCAAATTTGAATCACTATGCAACCTTGAGAGAAACAGATTTGTTCTGATCCCGCGGAACATGGTAGAGTCCTTTTCAATGTCACATAACAACCACGATTTTCATTGGATTCCTTATTTTTCGTTGAACATATAATTTGACATGTTTTTCGGCCGCCACACTCTGATTGCTATCCATTGCCTCACGAATATGACTTGACGGCAACATCATCTGGCGCAACTATATTCTCGAAAATAGACTTGGTTAAGGCGTACAACCAAATCCCAATGACACCTGATGAGATTTCTAGAACTGCGCTCAAAACGCCTTTCGGACATTTTGAATTTCTGTGTATACCACCCGGTCCCCGGAATGCAACACGAGCATTCCAAGGATTAATTGACGAAGTGTTTCGCGGTCTCGGCTTTACATACGCATACTTAGCCGACTGTCTCAGTGCCAGTCCAGGCAAAGAAACTCACCTGACGCACTTGGTATTTGACAGGTTAAGCCGACATGGTGTTACCATCAATATCCAAAACTGTCATATGGGAGTAGATTCACTCGACTTTCTCGGCAACACCATTGACTGCAAGCGTATCCGCTCACCGGCAAGTAACGTTGAAGCGATAA